CTGGCAGTGGCTGCCAGTGGGGCGAGGCGGGCCCCTGCCCAGCGCCTGCTGGGATGAGAAGCACAGACTCTGCAATGAACTCGTTTTTTCCTCCTCTCCCGCCCTCTTCCCCACCCGGCCAGGCCGGGCTGCCCCCGCCACCCTCGCTGGCCATTTTGGGGGTAGCGAGGGGGCGTGGTTGTTTCTTGTGGTTGTGTGTGTTTGTTGTTCGGGTTTTAAAAAAGGGAAATTGAGACTGCAAGTGTGTGGGGGGGTGGGTTTGGGGCATCTCCCCCAATCCAGGAGTGCCCCCCCCTTGTAAACAAGTCTCCTTTATTGCCTGCCTCTGCTGTGAATTAACTTGTTCTGTGTATTAAACTGGGCCTGACCCCTCTGCCCACAACTGCCTCGTTCTCCAGCCTGGTTTGGGGCATCACCAAGAAGGGGAGAGGGGGCCTCTTTGGGGGAGAAGCGAAGCAACTGAGCTGGCCCCTACCTCCATCTACCTCCTCCCCGCGTACCCTGCCTCTCTGGCTTTGTCCCAGCTCCTCCCGCCTAGCCGGAAAGGAGGAGAAGGGGGATGGGGTGGAGGGGGCTCCCGCCCAGCCAGCTGTGGTTGCCCTGGCAACGGGCTGCTGCAGCTGCGGCGGGAGGCGGTGAGGAGGGAGGCGGGCGCTGGGGCCTGGGGGAAGGGAAGGGGTGGAAAGAGGAAGACGGCCGGTGCCTCCCGGGCTAGGGAGGGGAGCAGGGATGTCAGGAGGTGTCATCCCAGGCCTGGACATCACCTGGGGCTCCCTGACCTAGATATTGAGCAAAGAGCAGTGGGGAAGGGGCGAAGAAGAAAGAAGTTAGGGGAGGACGGGAGGAAATACACTAGATACAGGGAGAACCAGGACACAGACACCACAGGAGAGAGAATGAGATTATGAGCGTCACCAATTTATTGAGAGAATCAGAACCAGAGTAGGAGAGATCAGAAAAAAGAGAAACATGAGGAGGAGCACAGGAATCGTAGGGGGAAGAGGGCCGGGAGAGAGGAAGGGACAGGAGAGACTGAGATTTAGTAGGGGGAAGAAATAACAGTAACAAAACTAACAAGCACACGGGGAGAGATGGAGGAAGCAGACAGTGATCTGGAGGGAAGCAGAGGAGATGCTTGGCGGGGGGAGGCAGAAAACCAGGAAACATGAATTAGGAGAGAGCAAGGGGAGGCACGTTGGAGAGAGAGAGAGACACAGCGCTAGGATCCGGGGACACAGGCAAAGTCCCAGAACAACTGAGGTGAGGGGGACGGACACACAGAAGTTAGGGAAACCATCATCTGTAGAGAGCCAAAGGTATGAAGGGATTTGGAGAGTGGGTGAGCAGAGAGGCTGACACGGGGGCAGGCAGAGGGGAGACTGGGGGAGGGCCCAGCGGAGGCACAGGAGGCTGGAAACTGAGGCAAGACGGGGATGGGCCCAGCGGCACAGCTGCGGCGTGGCCAGGGGCTGGCGTGCGCGTGAGAGTCGCCAGGGTGCTGGACGCTGCGGGTGTGTCCCACAGGCGCCAGGAGAGCATGTGAGAGCAGCTCGTCCCGTGGTGTCCCTCCCGCCACCCGCGTCAGTGGGGGTTGGGCAGCGCGGCTTGAGGATGGGGCCTCAAGGAGGGTGGAGACAGGGAGAGTGTCTGGAGAACTCCAGAATTTTTAGGAGACGTGGGATGGCTGGTTCTCCTCTGGATGTAATCCCCACGCCTTTTGACAAAGATATTTGGGTGGGGTGGGAGAGGGGCGGGCCTGAGTCAGAGAATCATGGGGTTTGAGCTCAGAGATGGAAAACTCATGACAGGTAAATGGGTGAGGAGGGTCAGAAAGTCCCTGCCACTTGGCCAGCCTATCGAAAGAGGTTGGGCTGCTGCTCAGATCCACGCGGAGCTGGGTCTAGACTTCCCACAGGGGCCAGGCCTTGGGATTTTCACATGGTATTTCCCGATTCGGGATCAGTTTGACCCTGATTCCCAGACAAACTTCAAGTGTTCACCAGGCCAGATGCAGATCTGGGGCCATGAGTTTATGTTCCTTCCACAGCTAGAAGAACCCGGGAAGGCCTGACGCATGGCTGACGGTCACAGGGTGTGTGTCAGCACCCTTCTGCAACACCTGATGCCCTCAGGGCCTGCACTAGGCTGAGAGGTGGAGAAGGGAGGCCGGGGCTGTGCTTCCCCCGGCTGGCCGGGAAGCGGGGGCTGCTTTCTACCCCAAACTACCCACCAGCCGACTGGCAGAGGGAGGTCTAGTCCCACACACACAGAACGAAGCGCAGAAATGTCCCAAATGCAGCCACAGTGGCCAGTGCTGGGAGGGGTGTGGCCTGGGGCTCCCTGTGAGTTTTGCTGCAAAGGAAACCCAACTTTCTTTATGGGCAATCTCCAGATTTTCAAAAGTTGGCCACTATTTCTAAAACCAACACAACTCCGTGGGCCAGGTCTGGCTTTCAAGCCTCTAGTATGTGACTTCTGAGGTAGAAACGTACTCTTTTTTTAACTTAAAGACATTTTACATTCTGAGTGATGGATTTGTCCTTCGGTTTTCAAGGAAAAGAAGTTTGCAAGGCTGGTGTCCCCTGGTTCTCAGGGAAGTGTGTAGAGTGGTCGTGTGTGTGTGTGTGTGTGTGTGTGTGTGTGTGTGTGTGTGTGTGTGTGTGTGTGAGAGTGTTG